CTGCACCTGCATGGAAGACCAGGAGAAGCACCTGGCTCCTGGCTTTGGATCAGCGTAGCTCTGGCCACAGTGGCCATTTGGGGGGTGAACCAACGGAAGGAAGACCTTTCTCTCTGTCTCTCTCTCTCTGTCTAACTCTGTCAAATAAATTAAAAAAAAAAGAAAAAAGAAAATTCAAGTGAGGAATAGAGAAAACTGGATTGGTTAATTGGTTGCAAAGCCTCTTAAAATTAACTAAAGTTCAGCTACAGTGATTAAATTCTATATTGGTTTGGACTTTGGCTTAGTACACTAACCTAGTCCAAATCAGTGGCCTCCAACAAAATTTTATTTAACACCAGTAAAAAAAGAATGAGGGCAAATGTTCATGTATCATATTCTTGGTAGTATGTTGTCTGTGTGCCTTACTGCTGGTATGGCTAAATAAACCCTTAGGCAACCCGCACATAGTTCTTTCTTCATATGCTTCTCCTACCACCTGTCAGGGTCTTCTGTTTGCTTCAGGATACAGAAGGAAAAAGAAACATATGGAAAAGAAATATAATATATTTTTTGTCTTTGGAGCCTTGGTCATGAAAACTGAGGCAGGTGTTATGCAGTTTATTTTCCTATCCCCATGTGACTAGGAGTAGGCAAATCATCTCTCATGCAACTAGTCCTGCCCAGTGAATTGTGAATAGAAATGGGTTGTTTTACTTCTATGTTAGTGCATATAGCTTTTCACAGGAAGCTCTCCGGAGGTTACTATTGCTCTGGTAATGCCCAAAATGCTGGATGCTCTATTACCTTGGATCCTGGAGGTGTTTTGCTGGTTGAACTTCTGCTGACCTGCAATAGACATGAGGTATGAGTAGGAAACAAGACTGTCTGCTACTGTTTTATGATGATTTGTCATTATCCCATAATAATCTTATTCCGATGGGTGCTTTTATTCTGACAGGTTCTGAGTAGGTACAGGATATGAAGATTCTTACTTCATGTACTGTTCTATCTAGTTCTGTTTTAGAGGAAAAAAGCTCAGCCCATGATGAAAAACACAATTAGCAAAGTTAATCCTGTTATAGATAAAATTATGGTTTCCACTTTCTCATGCATCAAAATTACCTTTTATAAAAACGTGGTATTCTACTGCAAGAAGTCTCTCATATTTGAAAGCATTTTAAATTTCAGTAATCTTACAGATAAACATATTTTTGACTAAAGAAAGTTAACATATCATTTTATAGAAAACATCTCTTGGGGCCGGTGCTGTGGTGCACTGGATTAAAGTCTCAGACTAAGGCTCCAGCATCCCATATGGGCCACAGTTTGAGTCCCAGCAGCTCCTCTTCTGATCCAGCTCTCTGTTATGGCCTGGGAAAGCAGTAGAAGATGACCCAAGTCCTTGGGCCCCTACACCCACATGAGAGACCCAGAAGAAGCTCCTGGCTCCTGGCTTTGGATCAGCTCAGCTCTGGACATTGTGGTCATTTGGGGAATGAACCAGTGGAATGGAAGACGTCTCTCTCTCTGGCTCTACCTCTCTCTGTTATTCTTTCAAATAAATAAAGTAATTCTTTAAAAAAAAAGAAGAAAATATTTATATCTCAGACTCTCAAATAAATCAATGAATTCGTAAATATTTTTATAAGGGGGAGCAAGCATTTAACATAGTAGTTAAGATGCCCGCATCTCACATACCTGGGTTTGATTCCCAGTCAGGGCTCCTGACTCCAGTTTTCTGCTAATGCAGATCCTGGGAGGCAGTGGTGATAGTTCAAATACTTTTGTTCCTGCCACTCCCCATGGAAGACTTGGATTGTTCTAGGCTCCTGGCTAAAGACTGATGCAGCCCTAGATATTGTAGACAATTGTGATGTTAACCAAAAGATGATAGTACTCTGTCTCGCCCAGAACTCCCCACCATCTACCCTCTGTTTCTCAAAGAAATAAGCATTTTCACAAATAATAAAAAAATAAGTTGAATCCACAGAAAGAGCTGGGATAGAAGTAACTAGAACAACTAGAGCATCTTTACCACTCCACACTCCCAGTCCTGCCTGTACCCTCATCCTCCAAAAAAGTTATAGAATGAAATCATCATTCTATTTCATAAAGACAAATATTAAGCAATACAGAAATATAAATTGATAAGGAAGTTGACACATACACACATATATAATTTATATATATACATATTTGAAAAGCAGAGTGGAAGAAAATAGTTATTCACTATAATAAATGTAATTTTATGTATTTGTGAATTCTGTGAGAACCTCTATTTCCTGTATTGTTTTGATAAATGACTTCAGGCAGAAGACTGGGAAGAATCTTGATAAAACATTATCAAGATTTTAAGAAATATAACATTAACAGATAAATGATAATTTCAATTTTATATACATGTACTTAGATTTGTCAAATTTTTCAAAAGTCAGAATACTTGGTTTTGTGCAACTGTGCTCGAGATACACAGAAAGAAGACTGTTCTGATTGCATTTAACGGAGATTGTGATTGAGGAATTTCAGTAAGAACGATAGAGAGCTAGACTCCCGGCTAGGCAGACAGGAATCAGGGGGGCCTCCCCACAATCTGCAGATGAGTCTCTGAGGAACTGAGAAAAATCAAACAACTGGTGAAGAACTTCTGTGATTGAGTGACTCAGCTTTCACCCAATTAGCCAATCAAAATGATCACTTCTCAATCCCTTTATTTACATCTCTCTCTCCCAGGAATCAACGAAATCAGTCACTTATCAATGCTTTATTTGCATCTGCCCTGAGGAATCAGGACAACTTCCCCTCTGTATCCCATTAAAAACCCCTTGGCCAATAAACCCTCAGTGGTTCCCTCCCAACAGCTGGGAGGTTTCTCTGCTTCCTTCATTTGTCCAGGCATTCTTGCCCATCGGCTTTATTCTTAGTGGACACGAAACAAAGAACATGATGGAGAAAATGAGTTGCAATGTGAAAGAGATGTACATTCTTAAAAATTCAGTGGAAAGAACAGTGTGCAACATTTTTGGTGGGGGGTCAGCTGGGATTGTCAGAAGGTGGGTAAAGCAGGCTGCTCTTGCCTTTTTCATGACAGATTCTAAGCTCTGCCATATTCTTTACAAATGAAAACACTGGGACTCTGTCAGCCCATTAAACGTGATTAGCAGGGCTGTTCAACTGAAGACTCAGGGGCCAGGCTTGCTAACTGATCCCTCTCCACCCTTTGGGAATGTTGACCATGTGCTGCCTCAGTTTCCTTTCACAGAGATCTATTTGACCTGTGAGACTGGCAGAAAGCATAGGAACAGCTGAAGTTTTCCAGCGGGGGGTGGGGTGAGGGTACTCCCTGGCATTACGCAAAGACTGCTAGCTGGACACAGACTCTGGACACCATTACGGTATCGAACACCGATCCACTCCTTACTTTCCTTCCACCACTTCTTGTCCAGCCCTGACTTCTGTCTACCCACTTCGCCCTGCAACCTCTCTGTTCTTCTGTCAAGTTCTCTTTACCCTGGTTCCTTCTTCTCTTAGTCAGGCTCTCCTGGGGTGACTTACTTTCTCTCACATCCAAGTGCCAACTCTGTAGGCGAAGGTGACTGCTTCCTTCTAATTGACTCCTTAGACTTCAGTCACCCAGCTCCCTGGAGATGTGAACGACTTTACTTTCCCACACTCCCCATTGTCAGCCACTGGGCGGTGCCTTTCCAGGGACCTCTTATTTTTGGATTCACCTTGCAAGTTCTCAATATTGCTTTATACCTTTTCTGTGATGGCCTGCTGGGGGCACGTTTCTTTGCTCTTACCCCACTAATACCTGACAAATCCCTGGTGTCGGGGAAGTTCACCTTCCTTGTAAACCCTTGCTCTTAGAGTCCTGGCTGAGAGCCTTTCTCAGGAGGCCGTTTCGCATCCTACTTTTTCAGTCACGGCAGTGTGTTTTGCAGAGAATCTCAAACAATTTTCACTTGCATATGACTTGGGGGCATGTAAAGTGAAAAGCAGGCAATTGCTTACTCCATATACTCTCATGTGTGGGGATGGTAACTTGTTGTTGTAGTTGATGACAATATCTAGGTACAAAGATGGAATGGGCAGTTTTGGAGGTCACTGAGTTCCTATCTTCTTGCTGTTACCATGATTTCTTTCATACCAAGACATGAAACGGAAATACATGCACCTTACATTGAAATTATTGCCAGGATAACAAGATGACAAGTGAAAGGGGCAGAAGAAGGAAGGCACAAAGTCCTGGCTCCCAGGATTGTACATGGATGAACAAACCATTACAGCTAAAAGGGGATGTAGCATCATTTATTCCATCCCAAAAGAAACCTCTGAGTTCAATAATCAAAAAGATTTGAAAAAAAATGACTGAATAATTAACCTGTCCCTTGGTCAGACTTCTATTGAAAAATAGATCAATAAAAGAGCAAAAAAAGAGCAAAAATAAAAAAAAAACTGGTTAAATTTTCTTTTTTAATTTTAAATTAATATTTATTAAGTTCTATGTAACCAATTGTAAAGTGTATTTTTCCTAGCCCAATCATCTCTTTCCACAGATTATACTGATAGAGAGAGTATAAATTATTCTAGACAAAATATCCAGTTATCCTGGAATCTAAGTACTTAACCCATAATCCATGTTAATTTTTGTTGGAAAATCTTAGATTTTAAACGTGATGGCAGGAAAAACCCAATTTTTAGTACAATAGGGTAAATTTACTTCTCACTGTCAAAGGAGTATATAATGTACTACTTATATCTTACAGGATAAATATCAAATATTAACTTTATAATAGTACATTCATTGATAATGATGTTTTTGCACAGTTTTATACTTATGAAAATTATCAATAGAATGATCATTAACTATTTGAACTACAAAGCAAACCATATTACAGCAAGTTCTATTTTTCATTAGCTCATAACAAAAAAAGTTTAAACTTAATATTAATTGCAAATAAAATGATTATTTAAACTGAATATCAGGTTCCTTATTTCAACTTTTTCTTTGCATTTAGTGAATCACATGTTGGGAAATCTTAAAAAAAACTGCCAAGAAACAAATTTTGAAAAATGTTTTGGGTCTCATTCAGCTCTCTGCTGGAAAGGAAACAGAAAATATTGCTGAATCGATAAAATCAAGCTATTCTGATCACTGGAAAGTATCATCCAAAGTAGAAGGTGAGTTTTGTTTTTTTAATTACAAGAGGAATACATTCTTTTGATTAAGAAACCATAACTCACAAATGTATATAGCGCAAAAATACAAACCACTCTTCGATTACACAGTCAATGCCACTAAGATAATGATAATTCCTTTTTGCTTAACTTTTATTTTACTTGAAGGGCAGAGGGATATGTAGAAGACAGACAAAGTCAGACACAGAAAGATCTTTCTTCTGATGGTTCACTTCCTAACATCACCGCTGCCTCCAAGATCTACATTAGCAGGAAGCTGGGTCAGGAACTGGAACTGGCTATCTAACCTAGATACTGACATGGGACACAGTAGTCTTAAAACTTTAGGCCAAAAGCTTGTCCCTAAACCTTCCCTCTTTGGTGGATGCATAGATTGTTTAAATTTTTTCACATAACAGGAAGGATATATGGCCTGATGCTAAAGCCACCAATTGGGATACCTGCTTCCCCTGTTAGAAAACCTGGGTTTCAGTTCTTGCTCTGTACCTGATTCATACTTCCTGACAGTGTGCACCCTGGGAAGCAGATGAGAGCTCAAGTTGCTGGGTCCCTGTCCTGTCGTCCACTTGGGAGACCTGGAGTGAATTCTTGATTTCCAACTTCAGCCTGGCACAGACATTGCAGGCCTCCAGGAAGTCGACCAGTGGATTGGAGAATTTGATCTGTCTGTTTCTGTCTGCCTCTAAAATAAATAAGTAAAAATCAAAATTCAAAGTTAAAAAATCACATAAGAAAGCCCGACTAATAGCTTTCCAGGTATACCAAACTTGATAAAGTGTGTGAAGTACCCTAGGAACTGATATAAGACTAGCAGGACAAGAGAATAATATGTTGAGGGCAGAGTGGCATAAAAAGAGAGGGGAAGGTTACATAAGGAACAGATTACTCAGGGCCTTCAATAGCGTGTTAAGAAATTCAGATCTTATTAAATAGTTTTAAATAGCATTATAAACACAATCTTTTATATGCCTTTTAAAATACATGGATGAGTCAAGTATAGAAAATAGACTTGGGGAAGGCCAGAGTGAAATGGAAAAAACAGCTAAGAAGTTCTTCTCACACAGTAGATGAAGCAGTAGGTGAAGAAAGACTAGGTCTCATGAGGTCAGACGACAGCAGCAGAGACATTAATACATTGACCATGAGTGCTAGTCATGTACAGCTGGAATAGATGGATTAAATATGAAGGGCTAGGACAAAGGAAAGATCAAGAATTATTCTCAGATTTTAACCTTAGTAATGGGTGGGAGTGATGGTGCCACTTATTTGAAATACAGAAACACTGGGAACAGATTGTGTAGGATGTGAATTGAATGGATGGGTCTTATTTTCATCAGGGAAGTTTGAAAATGTCTCTGCCGCATTCAGATAGATAAGTTGGATACATAAATTTAGAGCTCAAAAAAGAAATCTAGATAAGAAATATAAATCTATGAGTCACTAGCATATAAACGATTTGGATAATCATGGAAATGAATGAGATCATTTAGGCAGAGGTATAGTAAGAAGTGAAAAGAAAAAACAGCCCGAGACTGAATTTAGAGGAACTAGAACATAAAAAGGCACATAGAGGAAAAAATAGGAAAGGAAACCAAGCAAGGAGGTAAAAAGAGAAAATAAGGATATGCTATTCCTACAGTGGGAGGGGAAAGTGTTTCAGGGAGCACGTGATCATCTATTCTAGTATTGGACAGCTCATAAGGTGGTGTCGGGAAAGCAGGCACTGGATTTGTCTGCATTTTTGTCATTGATGTCTTGAATTGAGATATGGGTTTATAAGCCAATTTTATACTATATTAAGATAAACTGAGAAGTAAAGGAGTACCAAAATTGTGTGTCTAGTATGTATAGTATATATGTGCTTCATGTTTTTAACATATATATATATAATATATTTCTTAAATCTATATATGCATATGTATATATGTAATTAGAGTGTTGTGGTATAGTGGGTAACGCCACTGCCTGCAATGCCTACATCCCAGATAGGTGCTGGTTTGTGTCCCGGCTACTCCACTTCCAAATGGCCTGGGAAAAGCAGCAGAAGATGGTGCAAGTGCTTGGGCCCCTGCCTCCCATGTGGAGAACCTGGAAGACATTCCTGGCTCCTGGCTTGTGGCTTCACCCTGGCCCAGCCCTAGCCCATGTGGCCATCTGGGGAGTGAACCAGTGGATGGAAGAGCTCTGTCTCTTTGCCTCTCCCTCTCTTTTTCTAAGTTTGACTTTCAAATAAATAAATAAATATTTAAAAAAACCTAAAGTCTATAAATAGAATTGAACAAGGTAGAATTGAAGAAGCATAAGTAGTTTTTTTAAGGCCAGGAAAATATTAGAGATTATGTTTATGGCGATAGGAATGGTATGGTAAAGGAGGAATAGGTTGATGGTGTAGGAGAGAGGGAGACTACCTGAGGAAATAAAGTTCTTTAGTAAATGAATAGAAATGACATTGAGATAGGATTCCCAGGTATTTGTGTTTCCTGGAATACGTTCAATCTCCACTTGCTAAATTAGGGTTGTTACTAACAACACTCTGCCACCCACACACAGTCAGAGGGTTCTGCCTCCTTTGGTTTCAGGATTAAAAATAGAGAAAATAGGTGAAGAAGAAGATAAGGGCATAGGTTTCAGGATGGGAAGATGAAGTAGTCCTAATCATAAGACATATGGCAAGAGCTAAATTTGAAGTCCAATAAGGTTCTTCTCTTCACAATTCCAACTTTATGGGAACTCACAGATTCTATGAATTTAGTTTGAAAGTAGTTTAAGTATGCAAAATACAGACCACTGAAGTTCAGTGGCTATGGTGACTAAAGAAAAATTAAGCTATCTTTACACTCTGGTCCTGGTCAAATTTCAGAACATGTAGCAGGAATAACCCAATGCCCCTAGAAAAATAAATATTTAATAATTCTATTGTTTTGTAATCTCTGAAGAGTAAAGACTATGGTGTTCATCAAATCTCTACTCTGAAATTTGAATTGATATGACAATCTCACGATGGTTTTTATCGTGTCCTTGAATCTATAGCCAGAGTATATGTGTATACTAATTTGCACTCGTGTTATTATGCCTCTACTCACCAAAAGATAGCATTAAGGGTAACTGACCTGAATTTATCTTACCCTATTGGTAAGGATTCCTTGTATATGTATATGAACATAATTTTATCAACACCTGCTACTTTAATTTTTATAGTATGAAGTTATATGATGCACTGAGTAGTCTTTTTCAACCCATTACAAATAATAAATGTGATTTCTGAGAACCACTGTTGTGCCACTCCTTAGAGAATTCTGTCCATGAAGCAGTCTCTCAACCCTCAGCATCCCATCCAAAAGATCTTCAGATTACACTGTGGAATACATAGTAGAGCTCTCAAGTATAAGTGGCACTGCCTTTTTCAAGCCATTGTTTCCATTTATGGATAGTAAAACTCTAAACCAGAATTTCAAATTTTCTAAAAGTCAATCAGCTGCTTTAGGGTCAAAAGGGAAAGATACAGCAAGTTATGCGGCCGGCGCCACTGCTCAATAGGCTAATCCTCCGCCTGTGGCGCTGGCACCCCCAGGGTCTAGTCCCGGTCGGGGTGCCAGATTCTGTCTGGGTTTCTCCTCTTCCAGTACAGCTCTCTGCTGTGGACCAGGAGTGCAGTGGAGGATGGCCCAAGTCCTTGGGCCCTGCACCCCATGGGAGACCAGGAGAGGGACCTGGCTCCTGGCTTAGCAGCGCGGTGCACCGGCTGCAGCGCGCCATTGAGGGGGTGAACCAACGGAAAAGGAAGACCTTCCTCTCTGTCTCTCTCTCTCTCTCTCATTGTCCACTCTCCCTGTCAAAAAAAAAAAAAAAGATACAGCAAGTTATAACACTTTGATAACACATATTCCAGTTATCTGCTGTTATATAACCAAACCACATTGAACATAGTAACTTGAAGATATAAAATACTATTATTTCATGGTTCTGCTGGTTGACTCAAGTAGGTCTGATTCTGAGTTTTTGATGCAATAGCTCTCAGGAAGCAGCCAGGTCTAGAGCTAACTGAATGATTGATTAAGCCATATATCCAACACAACTTATTCACATGGTGTAAGTTATCAACTTAGTGATTCAGCTCCAAATTATCTCTTTTTTCCTGCTCTGTGAAATTGTATTTGGGTCTTTTGAGTATTTTTGTCTTCCTGTTGGCAAGAATAGTTTGTTGATAAAAATCACTAGAGATATTGTAAGGATTTAACCTCCTGGGTCCAGGGTGCTCTCGCAGTAGACTTCCGCAGGACATGCAGTTTCTGCAGCTCTTGGCTCTTGCAGCACATGAGATTGGAAGCCCCCTGTGGCATTAACCTTTGACCAGCCCACACCTTGGGCAATTTTGTAGTACAGCACGTCTAGTGAGATACCTCCTTGTGAACAGCTTTCCTGGACTCCTCAGAGGTCGGGTTTACAACAATTTACAAAAATTCTCTGCCACTCATCAGCATGCTTTCTCTAGTGAGGTATAAATCTCAGTGCAGCCAGGATCAGGGGCAGAAAGTGAGGTTGAGCTCTCATTTGACATTCTACTGTGATTTTAGTGGTAATGATCATCCTATATCTTACTATATTATGTCTGTTATTTTTTTATATACTGTTCCTGCTATTCCTATATTCCTTATATTTTCTGTTTCATATTTAATCAATCCCTCATTATCCAAATCCTTTATTAAAGTATATAATTTTGTATATTAAGGTTTCCTTTTCAAATAATTGTTCTATCTATTGATGGAACTCATTGTGAGATGCATGCCCAGAAATTAATGCTGGTTTTCACTGGGGTCTCAGGAAGAATCAAAGGAAAATCAAGTGCAGAGTCTGTCTATGTGGTTTGGACTTACCATGGCATGGTGACTAGTATCCAAGAAAATCAGGGAGGATGAGCATGGCTTCTTAAGATCTAGCTTGCAAAACTGAAGAACATTGTTTTAGCATTCTATTTGCTAGGAAAATCACTAAGGCCACAGAGATTCAAAGAGAGGTAAGTAGCAAAGAATTTGTAGTCATTTTATTTGAACCTACTACAACAGATGAAATTAAAAATGGTAAATATATGTATATATTACATGGATTTATCAATCTAATAATAAGTCCCAGGTATCCTAAGAGCAACTTTGTACTTTATTTGAAAAAAAAAAGTGTCTAATTGAGAAAAATGGTCTTGTCATTGAAATATTTAAGAACGGGCATCCATCATTTTTGCATGTCACAACCATGTCAAGAAATCCCAAGATAAATTTGTTTCTGTGAAAAAAATTGAGTTTTTTCTTCATTAAAAATTGCATCACCATCTCAACCAGCAAGTAAGGTAAAAGTGATTAGAAGTTTTTCTTCGAAGCAACAACTATCCAAGCCATGTCCATTCGGGGTGGAGCCATATTCACTGACATGTCAACTCAAAGATTCAAAGTGGCTAAGAAACACTGTGCTGAATATCAGCAATTAGAGAGGTAGTAACAGAAAACTGAAATGTATAGCCAAAGACAGAATACCAAGCAACACTGGGCATTTCTGAGATCACAAAACTAGAATTAAAACTGACCAGAAAAAAAGAAGGCTATTTAACTCAGCAAAGGACATTATTTTCTTTACATACATTCTAGAGAGTAATTAAATTCAAAACAGCATTAGAGTTCTTTCCCACACCAGTAATAAAGCGGAGGGAAAAATCCCATCATAGGATCCGCTTCTAAGTGAGGAGATAAAAGTAAATTGTAAAATGAGAGTCTCACCTGAGACTCCCACCAGAAATAGCACTTCTCTGAATGATGGGGAAATCATCTCTACTAAAGCAGCAATCTGAATTCCACGCAGGGAATTTACTCTAGGAAGCAGTTGTAAGGAAAACATATTAGCATTTAAAGAAGGCCTTGAGTCAGAGTGTAGGATGCCACTGAGGAATGATGACATCCTTCTGCTACCAGTTGCTGTGAAACTCTGTGAATTAAAGAGTTTCCCAATAAACTAGTGTGACAGTTGAAATGCCAAGTGTATCCTGAAATACTGGTTAACCTAATATTGCCATAGACATCATTGTTGTACCCTCTACACTTCTTTCATTTCTTACCACTCCCCATGTTCTGAATGTGTTAAAGTATCAAATTCATTTTGAATCATTACAAAAGTCATTTACAAGACATATTTTCTTGCATCATTAAGAATGGTACTATTTCCATAAATAAAACCTGGATGTTGGCATCAAATATGCATTCACTCAAATTTTAATTAAATTACTTTGCTGAAACCTATTTGAAACAATTAGTTATTGGAGTCAGAAGTAATCAGAGATTGCATATACTGAATGTTCATGCAAACCAGAATTTTGAATAGGTTTTACAATGTAGCAAAGGTGACTACTTAGGAAGCATTTAAGGGATTTTTCCACTCTAAACTGACATATAGCAAATGAAACATGAAATGTGTCCAAATCTCAGTGTATGTATGTGTGTGTTTTTTAAAAAGGTGGAAGGGATTTGAAGGGGAAGTAAAAATGGGTGATGAACTGTGACATACTGAAGGAAGAATGGAAGATACTGAAATAAAGTAAGATCATTTTTTTAATGGCACTTGTCAGGCGGGAGTCCCTAGAGTGGGGAAGTGCCTCAATTTCCAATCACAATTTATCTTATTCAGTATTTTAAAGTATTTTTATAAATTTATATATTTTATTTATTTGAATGGATGGGGATGCACACACACAGTGAGAGAGAGAGAGAGAGAGAGAGAGAGAGTCCTCCAACTACTTGTTCACTCTCCAAATGCCTACAGCAGCCAGGAATGGGCCAGGTCAAAGAAGCCAGGAGCCAGGCACCCAACTTAGATTTCCCATGTGGGCAACAGAGGCCCAACTGCTTGAGCTATGTCTGCTGCCTGCAAGGTGCTGCATTAGCTGGAAGCTGGAAGGAAGAGCAGAGCTGAGGCTGGAACCCCAACATCCGGATCTAGGATGCAGGCAGCGGAGGAAGTGGTGTAACCACTGCAGCTTCACGGTTGTGCCAAATGCCCACCGCTTATTCTGAATCTTAGTCACCGGAGTTCCAATCCACAGTGATTTTTGAACTGAATTTTAAAAAACTAGTTTTATTTTAATGAAGATTGTGGAGTAAGTCATCAAAATCCCTCCTTCATTCATTCTCTAGGAACTGTAATACTTGCCCAACCCAGTTTTCAGCTAATATAGGCAAAATGGGCTGTATAAATATTAAGGAAATGAGAAACCATTCTCTCAATAAGAATTTAAACGCGCAAATACCGCTGGAAGTGTGATTTGGAGGTAGGTAATTGAAAGGGTAGAGGAGCATAGTTAAAAAATTAAAAAGACTTTTCAGGAAAGGCGTTAGATATGAGTGAAGAGACAAAGTCCATGTCTTTTGCTCAACTGTTATAATGTAATTGACTCTTTTTTTTTTTAAAGATTTTATGGTTTTAAGTTTTTTAAAAAAATTATTTTACTTGAAAGGCAAAGTTTTAGAGAAAGAGAGAAGACAGAAAAAGAGAGAGAGAGAGAGAGAGAGAGAGAGAGAGAGAGATCCTCCATTGGTTGGATCTCCCAAAATGGTTGCAAAGGCTGGGCCTGGGCCAGGCTTGTTCTTCCTCCGGGTCTTCTATGTGGCTGCAGGGGTCCAAGGACTTGGGCCATCATCTGCTACTTTCCCAGGCACATTAGCAGGGAGCCATGCTGGGACTCAAACTGGCATCCATATGGGATGCCGGCACTGCAGACAGTAGCTTAACCTGCTAAACCACAATGCCTGCCCTCAATTTTATAGTTTATTTCCAAGAATCTTCTTTTGTAAATATCACCTCTTCAGTAGCTCACTCCACATAGAGTTAGCTTGCATCAGCATTGGCCGGAATGCTTAATAATCACATTTGAAAATGTCTCCCTTATTGCTTCTGTTTATCACTTCAAAACTTGTAGCTCCTTGGACCATTTCCTGTAGTAATGTCTCTGAAATTATCCAGAAAGACACAATCCTGATTGGAATAAATCCTGGATCACTTATTGTAGCCTTCAATTATATTCCATAATCATTAGATGTCATAACCTAAAGTTTTATCATGGAATTCTCCTCCTTTGTCAAAATTTATGAAAACCTTAGTGGGTATTTTTTTCCCTTCTCTCTCTCTCACCCCACCCTTCTCTAACACACACACACACACACACGCACAATCTCCCTTAATGCTTGTTATGCTACCCATGAAATATTCTATCTTACCAAGTTGTCACATACTGTTTTGTGCTAACAAGTTCTTTCCTTGAGTAAACATCATGAATATTTCGAATATGAATGCAGCTTACTGTGATGCATTTTGAGATTTTTCTACTTCATTTCTCTGCATTATTCCTTGGGGCAGACACTGCTGAGAATTACAGTTCCTGAGCTGGGCAACTGTAAACCAAAGACACCAGTGCAAACTCTGCCCACATTGCGAATCTGCAAATAGATGAACATGAAGGAGCGCAAACTGCTACTCCAACATTCACAGATAGCATGTGATTAGCATACTTTGTGCACCCATCACACATTCAGACTCTATTCCAAGTTCAGAAAATGGGGGCTACTGATATACTCAACACAGCTATTTTTCACTCAGACCTTTCTTTAGGCTCACAAAATAGACTGACTTAAAAGTTCAACTGTTCAAAGTTCAATATCATGAAAATGCACTGAGTCAGCAATTAGTAAACAGATTATGTAAATAGAACTTCTGAATTACATGCTGACATTTAAATATCAAAGCTTACCTAGCCTTAGGCTCTTCAATTAATTGCAGCAAACTGAAAGGTAGACTGCTAAATCATTTGCTTTCAGAGTGTACCATGAGTTTATTCAAAGACTATATTAATTGTCCATGAATTCCTTTGTGTCATTTTCGTGAAGCCAGGCAAAAAGAAGGAGGAGGAGGAGAGATGGAGAAAGAGGAGCAGGAGGAGAGAAAAGGAAAGGCAATGAGAAAAGGAAAGAAAAAGAAAGGAAAAAAAGAGAAAAGCTTTTCATTTAAACATTAATAGCAGAGGCTCCCTGCAGGCACAGTATAAAAGCAATGTAAGGGTGACCTGTTCTAAAGCAAACTTCAGTGCACATTTCACGCAGATTTCAACTTAGGGGTTACCTTTTCTGGGGTTATAGTACTCAGCCATGACACTGTCAAGTGGAGCATGCAAATTTCTTTTCTCAAAACCATTTTGGTCTATGAATAATTATACATCATCTACCATGAGTCTGCACAATAGAGGAAAAAATAGACATTACACTACTAGGAGTTCCTCCATCATTTTTCTCCCTTTGAAACCCAAAACAGTCTTATTAACAATGGAGAACATATTCTTTACCTGCAGAGGAAATACCTCCTTCTTAACAAATGATAATTTATCATTTTTAGAAGAGAAAGCTGCCTTAGCAAACCAATGAAAATGGCTAAAACTGTAACCACTTTGCCCAGCAATTATAAATGTGACAGATTCATTTATCTACCAGTATATAGCCTTAATTTACACCAATGCTTAACAGTTAATTGTTAAAGTGCACTTTTTTTGTAGTAATAGTGGGATTTTAAGGGTACCTTCAAATACAAAAACACTTTAAAATAAATGCCTATGCCATTAATTATCTTATCAAAACAATGCTGAAAAATGCCAAAGAAATGAGATAACAGAAACAATAAGGGAAAATACCATTCGTATAAAGAAATTTAACCATCAATTACTGAGTAAGTAAATGATATCATCCTGATATTTCTGGGCCAATGGGATGTTGAAGTTTACAAATAACTTTTTTTTAAATGAAACAAATAACTTTTACAATAAGCTTAATAAATTCTTCATACTGTTTCTCTTCCTGTAAGCGGCCTTAGGTGACCTGTGAAAACGGTTCACTACTCACTGGACCCAGAAAACCCCACAAAATCATGCAAATCAAGAGGCTCAAATCTTCGCATTCACTTTAAGAACACTGGAGAAACTGCCCAGGCCATCAAGGGTATGCATCTCCGAAAAGCCACCAAATACCTGAAAGATATCACATTAAAGAAGCAGTATGTGCCATTCTGTCGGTACAATGGTGGAGTTGGTAGATGTGCCCAGGCCAAGCAGTGGGGTTGGACCCAGGGTCGTTGGCCCAAAACAAGTGCCGAGTTTCTGCTGCACATGCTTAGAAATGCAGAGAGTACTGCTGAGCTGAAGGGTTTGGATGTAGATTCTCTGGTCATTGAGCACATCCAGGTGAACAAGGCCCCCAAGATGCGCTGCTGGACCTGCAGAGCCCACGGCCGGATCAACCCGTACATGAGCTCCCCGTGCCACTTCGAGATGATCCTCACTGAGAAGGAGCAGATTTTTCCTAAGCCAGAAAAGGAGGTGGCACAAAAGAAAAAGATATCCCAGAAGAAACTAAAGAAGCAAAAACTTATGGCTCGGGAATAAACTCAGTATAAAATAAATACGAATTAAAAGAAAAAAAAATTCTTCATACCAATAGTATTTTTTCTGCTTGTTTATACTAATTTAGAATTGAAACATTATTAAAAGTACAACAAAACCTTACAATTATTTGGGATCCACTATATTCTTTTCTTTACTTTTCTATTTTATACATTCATTGTCATATCTTTCTCTATATTTTGGGTTTTCTTTAAACTATTACTCAGTGAAACTCTCACATATAAAAAATTAGTGATAAGAAAGGTGCTTATAATTCCATCAAGATTAGCAACTCTTATTATGTCAGATAGGGAAAAAAACATGGGGCAGGACTTTTATAAATTCATAAATATAGCCAGGAAAATCATAATCATAGCAATTTAGATAAGATTAATTTATATTTAGAACTTTCTCATTAGACTTAGCAGTTAGTTCTCTTCAAGATTATTTAAATTGAGTCTTTATATTATAGGCTTGTCCCTAGTCTTTGGAAAATCCTATCAATTTGCATCCTAAGTGGCACATTCCCTGGATATTTAGTTAGTACATTGAGGGGAAGGGGATTGTCAAGGCTATAAGGGATAGTCTAGGAAAACCAGGGCCAGACAATTTAAATATGAATGTTGACTTCGACTTATTTTCTAAGTAATCACAGGCAAACAAATTAATTTCTACATGCCTCAATTACTCCAACTTTCTAAAGTGTATAATGTTGCTTCCTTCATTCAGTGTGTGTGTGTGTGTGTGTTTGTGTGCCTGTGTACACCTGCTGATGAACTGTGCTACTGAAAACCACCCAACATGGTCATTAATTTCCAGTTGCTGTTCAATACAGGCAATTATCATGGCTTCCTCCACATCTGTGTAAATCCGTCAGATTTCCCTTCTTTAAATTTAAAGACATTCAACCATCAGATAAAGTGTGCCTCTTAGGAACCAGGAGTTTATAAGTTCCACATAGATTAATAAGCCATCCCCTCTATATGCAAAGACCCTCAAATATTCTTTCTACCTGTCTGTTATCTTTCCTGCATTCCTTCTTCCATTACTCAATTTGTTTTCCTAGATCTTTCGAGACCTGCAATTATCTCCTGCAGTTTTGCCTGTCAATGAAGGACAGTGGCCTCACTGCTTCCTTATATCATCTTGGTCCTTTTCTCTTGATCCCGTGCTTTACAAGCATGCTCTCACTGCTGTCTTCTGGTTATTTCCCTTTGTGAGTCGTGCTTAGCTCTGATCCCTCCTTCTCTAGGGGCAGATATATGTAGCAGGTGCCCTAAGGATCAGAGATGCATTTTTCTTGCCCAGAGCCATTATATCAAAAGAAGCATCCAAACCTAAATGTAAGAAATAGAGAAAAGGAGGCTGTGAATGTCCACTTGAGGATTTAAAATGAAGTAAATTTTCCTGCTATTGAAGATACCCCTTTCCCTAAAGCATGTTATTTATATAGGTCCCAAGAAAGCAATAGCTTTATGCGAGGGAGCTTCAAAAAGTTCATGGAAAAACACAAAGAAATGATTATGCTCTTTTTCCAAGAACCTTTTGAAGTATTCTCATGAATCTGTTCAATTGGGCTATATTCTGGCTTTTATTTTACCACCTCTTGATCTATAATATGTATATTTACTAAGGTATGTTTTATTTTTTAAGCCAGGATATTCAGACTGTCTAGCACCTCACATAGTATCTCAAGTCAGATGTCCATTCAACAGTTCTTTTACTGTGAGGAAATTGTGGCTTAAGGAGATGAGAGAAATAAAACTATCATTAATAAATATATAATTGGTCGATGGCATTGGAGCATTTGGTCTATAGTAATCTCTGTTTTGCTAATGAGGAAACTGAGGCTCATAACATTGCTGGAACCTCTCAAAGTCAAGAAACTTAACAAGTTACTAACCGGAAAAATGGAAATGGAAGGTTCCAACACTCAACTATTTTTGATTTTACCTTTTGACATGGGAGAAGTCTGCTGTCTAGAGAAGTCAGATGAGTTGCCTTCAAATAGTCCAGCTAGTCAGAATAAGAAATAAATTTGGTGAGACAAGTGTATTGTTTCTTGATCAAGTGCTTACTACACCATACAAAAATGCATGAACCCATTAATTCTGAAATAATTCAAAACCCACAATCACTAAGTGATATTCTAATGAGTTTCCATATTACTCTTTCAGAAAAAGTTTTGTTTCAACTTATAAAAGGTAAATATAGAAAATCTACATTTATGTTTCTTCTGACATCCATTTATTAGCATATATTTTATTACCACATTAAGAAAAAATGGGAAATACATACTTAAAGTATTTTAAATACAAAAGTGAAATAAAGGTAAAACTGAAATTCACTTCCCTAAGCATATACTCAACCACATATGGTATTTTTAGACAACTATAAAAACAAAAATGAGCATGCATCAGTCATATGTTTTCAGTTATGTAAATTATATTACTTATTCTTTATAACAACTTGAGTATTTACTGTTATTACTTTATAGGCCAATTGAACCAAAGATAGGTCATGACATATGCAAGTTTCTGAAAGTTTCTCTTGTTTTAATCTAATAATTTTTCAAAAATTCTTATTCAAAATGCCTGCATGAGTTTAGAGAGCCAAGCCCTGATTTATTTATCATTATAGATTAAGCAGGACTTGGCTCACTAAACTCATGCAGGCATTTAAACTTCAATTTCTACATAATAAGTTGATGGAATAAGGGTGGAGAATAGAACTCAATACTATATATTGGAGGTGGGTTTGGTGGGAAGCTGTTAGATCATTGGAAACTAGCCCTCAGAAGGTAGTCCTTGAGAGAGGTCGGTTATATAAACTGAAGGTACATTTTTATATTTATTTATTTATTTATTTGAGAAGCAGAGTTGTAGACAAGAGAAGGAGAAACAGAGAGAGAGGTCCTCCATCCACTGGCTCACTCCACAAATGGCTGCAATAGCCGGAGCTGGGCTGATCTGAAGTCAGGAACCAGGAGCTTCTTCCAGGTCTCCCATATGGGTTCAGAGGACTTGAGACGTCCTCTGCTGTGTTCTCAGGCCATTAGCAGAGAGCTTTGTTGGAAGAGATGCCGCCGGGACTTACGGGTGCCCATACAGAATGCTGGCACCGCAGACAGAGGCTCAATACGCTATGCAGTAGTGCTGGCCCTGAATGTGCATCTTCTGTCTCTCTCTGCTTCCTGTCTCGCTGTGTGGTTCATTCATCTACACCAGCTCCATCACCACCAACTTCTACCAGATACCAGACTAATGTGTGGGCCACCCAGTCTTGGACTGTGAACCTCGACCACAATAAACTTTTCCTTCCTTAAGTTGCTGCTCACAGGTATTTTAATTAAAACAATTAAAAGCTGACTAACACATGTTTGACAGAGACTACTAGCATTCTACCAGTATCTGTTATCACTTTGTCTAAAGTCACACAATTTTTAATTGGTCAAATGACCAGCAAAAATAAAGACTGCACCTTCATTGTTAAGCCCGGCCATGCAACTAAATTCTGGCCAAGATCCTGCAAACTCTAGGTTCTTCCTAAAGAAATGTCAAGTTCCCATCCCTTACATTTTTGCCTGGTCATACACCACTCTATACTGCACTTTGAATTTGGTTACTTCCAAGCTGGCCATGGGGAGGAGGAGTCACCTCTTAAGGATAATGGGGCATTAAAATGGATCATCTGGGACCCTGAGGGCTTCATGAAATGGGCTTAGCATACTGACCCCTACATCCTTATGAGAGACAGGAAACTTCTATTTCATTACATCTATTTTAATTTGTGTGTTTCCTATTACTTCCAGATGAATTGTTTTATTTAAATAGTATGGATAGACCAAACTGTATCCAAATATTCCCCTATTTCTGAATATGTACATTATATGTACCCTTTCTTTTTTTTGTGCTAGAAAATGTGCTACAGCAAATATTCTTATTTTTCTACTCGCATAATCAAACTCTACTATTACAATAGTATTCCTAGAAGAGATGCCCAGAAGTGAAATTGTGAGATTAAACAGTGCAAACCTTTATAAAATTTAATAGTTTTGTCCTTCAAAAAGTGGTGCCAAGTTCTAATAGTGTATTAGATTAACCTAGTTCCCACAAGTTTTCTAACACTGTATATAAACTTGTTTGACTTGTTTTCATTCTTATACTTCTGACAGATAAAAATGCATTTCACTTACTGCTTTTAAATGTATTTCTATGATCATTTGTAAAAACACATTCATGTTATAGGCATGTTATTCCTCAGTCTATGAATTTACCTCTTTGATTACTATTATATAGAGTTTATGCTAATGTTTCCTTTTTAACAAATTATACTTAGCGAAATAAGCCAGACCCCAAAACACAGATAACATATGTTTAGCCTGACCTGTGGTACCTGATAGAATACCAAAAAATGTAATGTATATGAGTGAAATTGACATTTGGAGACAATGATTGTTTACAGTACTTCTCTCTACCATTGAGGAACAGTGTTTTTTTTTTTTTTTTCTTCTCACTATTTGTTGAATTATTTACTTAGGCTTAATCTTATGAGTATAAAATAGACTGAGAGTAGATCATTGTAAAAATTAAGAAAAGAATGGGAAAGGAAAGAGAAGAGAGGGTAGAAATAAGGGAGGGAGAGAGGGTAGTGTGGGAAGTATTAGTATACTCCTAAATCTGTATATATGAAATACATGAAATTTGTAACTCTTGAAAAATAAAAAATATGAATTTATTTGAAAGGCACAGTGACAGAGAGTGAGAATCAGACAGATCTTTCATCTTCATAATACTATAAGTAGTGCATGTTTGTATTTCATAAAAAAAAAAAAGTTGAAATCAGACATCAGAGGGTCAACTGCCATAATTCACAGTCTGATTCATAGAATAACCAATCTCTAAGTATTGATGCTCAATTTCAAACTATTGTTCTTTTTGGTTCCCACCGTTTGTGAATCCATTTTCTAGATGTGCAAAGATATTTGTAATAAGATCCTTGTAACTTAATTATTCTTTTGCTTTTTTTTTTTTTTTTTTTTTTTTTTTTTTTTTTTTTTTTTTTTTCCTGACAGGCAGAGTTAGACAGTGAGAGAGAGATAAAGAGAGACAGA